AATGATCGGATGTCTGCTATACTTCATCTCCAAGCACCCGCCTAAAAAAAAAAAAAAAAAAAGAGAGAAGGAAAGAAATTACTCTGTTGTTCATGACATTGATCCATAGTCCTTGCTAGCTAGTAACTTAGAAAGTATTCAAAATGCTTGACTGTAACCATATTTCTCCAACACAATGTTTCTAATTTAGCAGTTATTTTCTTTAAACTACTAGTAAATAATCTTGTAAGTGGTTTCTACTGTTGATTTTCTCTCCACCAAAACAAAACAAAACAGAAACACAAATAAGGACAGGGTTCATGAACATGGCCTACACACGGTGTTGGCTATACTGTTTGGAACTCCAAAGCAGAACAAAGGGTCTAGAAAGAAATTACTCCCTTTGAATTATGAATAAGTATGAAAAGAACCTTATAGAGCTATAAAATAAAGCTACGTTAAGCTGCAGACGCAATTCACATTCTACCCAGGGGTCAGGATTGAGCTGGGAGCTGCTCTGGACAGAGGTAAGGACTACAATTGCAAAGTGCAGCCTGCTGACACCATTTCCAGCAACTCCCATTGCATATCGGGCCCTCAGCGAAACTCAAAAGGACTGTGTTTATGGGAGATTTGGGGGAATTCTATTTTTCATAAAAGGGATGATAAAAACTAACGTTTTAGTGAACCCGAAAACTTTAGAAAGGATCTCTGGTACTGGGAGAAACTTGACATGGAAGGGGCCAGTGTCCTCTTAGATCTGTTCGGGGACCCCGGAGGGATGCTCCTTTAGCAGAATTACATCACCTGACCCTATGGTCAGTGTTGAGCCCTGAGGACAAATGGGACAACTTTGACAAAGTCGCTGCTCTGGAAGCTGTGATCACTTAGGGAAATCACACGGCCAAGGCCCGGGATCAACCTGACCCTCCATGAGGGAGAAGCACCGTGAGTCACTTCTGAAAAACAGCATTGCCCCCTCATGCACTCCACCTGGCAGACTCCTTGCCCTGGGCTGCAACTCTGTACTTTGGCATCTCCACCTCCCTCCTCTTCTTTTGGGGCAGCCCCTCTCCAGCCAGAGGCTCCCTGACCATGCGGAGCGCAGCCTCAGCCGCCCGGGCTGCCCAGCCGCACAGCTGCTATGGAGGGAGAGTACTGCAAAGCTTGGCCGAGGCAAAGAGTGGCGTTGTCCCCCATGGGTGTAGGAGGCACGGCCTGGTGTCAGGCAGCTGGAGCCATCATCTCCTGGAGCCCGCTAAGGAGCCCAGCACCCAGCTCCTTGCATCTATGTGCATTTCCTCGGCTTCGGTCACACACCTGTCCTAGTCAGCCGGCAAAGATGGGGACAAGAGCCCCACTATAACTCGCTGCTCCGGAACCTTCTAAACTCCATCTCCATTAGGGCTGTATTTACAAATTTAGGGGGCCTAAGGCATTGTTAAAGTGCCAAGAAGGAGGTAAACTTTTCATTTTTTGGCAGTCGGTTCTGCTAGGACTCAAGAAGAGAGAAAATAAAAGGATAGCCGTATCGTTACTTTCTGACTTCCACGCAGTTTTATGAAACTCTAAAAACAAAACAAAGTACCACCACCAAAACCAGCAACAACTAAATATCAGAGTGTTAGCATCTGGAGGAAAAAATGGAGGCCCTGTTCTCACTGTTCCCAGAATTTGTGTTGGAATTTTCCCATCGGAAGCTGATACTATTAAGGAAACTACATTAAAAACAGTTTCCAGCCTTTACCCGTGAAATGCCTCTGCTGATTACAGAGCCCTCTGAAAACAGTTAATTTAAATGTCATGTAATTTAAGTGTCGGCACAGCCAACTTCGGGGATTAAGTGCCCAAAGACCAAATTCTGAAGGCCACACAGAGGGGTCTGCCACTTTCTCTGCTTGATTAAAATTATTTGAGCCAGATAATTGCTACTTCTGAAAGTAAAATGGACGCGAGGGAATTTTCTAAACCTTGAGTCAGCTGCAGTTGGAAGCTACGGATAAGACGCAAAACCAAGAGGTGCCAGCCGAGGCTGGAGGCTGGAGGCTGGGCGGAGTAACGCCAAGGCTGCAGCGGGCCTGTGCCTCTGGAGTGTCTGTCCCATCTCCTGCTGCCCAGAGCTGCGTCCTGTCTCTGGATGCCTCCTGGGCCCCTGCTCCCAGGCATCGCAGTCGTCCCTTCTGCCGCAGGCAGGTGGTCTCACCGCGACCAGCCTTCCAGCTTTCCAGGAAACAGGACACGCAGCCCAGCCGCGGTCTTAGCGGCCTGACCTTGCTCAGAGGCTCTGGCCCCACTGCCGCGGCTTCCTAGGTCCAGATCTGGAGTCTTTGGGGAACGCATTCTTGGGCTGTAAATGCCAGCCGGTTTCAACGGTGAGTTCCGTCCTTCTCCCCGCAGCTGTGCTGGTAAACCGGGTATAGCTAATCATAGAAGGTGACGGATGCTTGTCTCATTGGCCCTGGGGACCCGCTTCCCAACTGCGGCTCCCCAAAGTGGCCTGAGATCTGAAACTCATTCGTGGTGCTCGCAGGCATCCCCGATCCTCCCCGCGCCCGACTTCTTCAGCCCTGGAAACCACCCCAGGGTCTGCGCAGCGAGCGCCGCACCGCGAGTCACCGCAGCGCGCACCTCCAGCCGCCATCCCGCCGGGCCGGCAGGGACACGTCGGGGCCGCGCGGGCTGCACCGCCGGCTCCGCTTGGCTTTGAGGCTCAGAGCGCCGAGCCCCGCAGCTTTCGAGCCTGCCCGGAGCGTGGGTTCCCACCCGGGACGCCTCTCGAAGGACAAGAATTGGGGACGGCCCGGCCCAGGCGGGGACGCTCCGCGCTGGGGAGCGCAGAGGACTCTCGCAGCCTGCTACCTGCGGGCCCCGCACCGGCCGTCGGGTGGGAGGGGCGCCCCTCACCTTGGTGAACTTGACCTCCAGGTTGCGGACGGGGCGCGGCAGGGCAGGCTTCTCGGCCGGCTGCCCGTTCTCCACCGCCCCGTTGGTGGTGGCCATGGCTGCTCCCGGCCGAGGCCCGAGTCTGCGGGCGGGCGGGCGGCTGGGTTCGGGAGGCGCGCGGCTCCTGGCTCGCGGGGTGACAGCTCCGCGCAGCTTTATGCTGCGCCCCACGCCTCCCGCCCGAGGGGGCGGCTAATTGGCTGCAGGACGGGAGGAAGAGAGGGCGGCGCGAGGGGGCGGGGGCCGGCCC